GGCCGGAGGTGTGCTGTAGGGGGGCTCGGGCGGGGACGTGGTGGGTGGCGGAGGGATGTCCTCCGAACCAGGCACGGACAGGCTGCGGCTGAACTTCATGGCTGGGGGTGCTAGGTAGGGTCTGTCGTCTTCTGCAGCCCCTGGGGAGACACAGAGGATGGAGGGCCGGGGCTCCCCTAGGCCGCAGGGGCACAAGAGCAAAGTCAGTAGCGGCGCCCCGTGTATGCCGAGAACGGCGCCCGGATGGCCCAGCGCTTCGCCGGCCGCGGTAAACCCGGGGCCGCCTCGCACGGGGACGCAGGCTGTGCACTGCTCCACGCCGAGCAGCAGGGGGAGCCGGCGGGGCGGCGCGTTCGGCCCAACTGCCCCCAGGCCCGGAGGGGCGCCCTTATCCAATCCGCGCAGTGGGAGGCCGCGGTGAGCCACAGTGGCTTGAGCTGAAAAGGGACCGCGTGGCGCTGCGCAGGAAGGGATCGCGGCGGCGCCTCGCACCAGGACGCTGCAGAGCTGCTCCGGGCGAGGCTGCTGCCGGGCGGCGCAGGTGGGCTGCAGATCAGGCGTCGGGAGCCGAGAGATGCAGGCACGCCTCCCAGGCGCGGGAACGCCAGAAGTTGGGGGCGGGCTGGATCTCACCCGGAACCAAGTCCGGGAGGCTGGCGGAGCGAAGCCTTGGCCTGCCCATTGTCCCCGACTGCTCTCAACCACGCCTGGCTTTGCTCAGGCCACCCCGCCGCCGGCTCCTGGTCTCCGCCCGCGCCTTCTGAGCGCCAGGCTCCTGGGTCCACCTGACTGGCTGACAGGTCTCCCACTCTCAGGACTCCATCCTAGCTCCGCCCCCATCCCTGCAAATGGCAGCTCGTCCCAGCGGCTCAGCCCAAAAAGCCTGGAGTCAGCCTTGATGGCTTTCTTTGCCACCACGCACACGCAGTCCACCAGCACATCCCGCCTATCCAGAATCTAACCCCTTCTCACCATCCACAGTCGCCACCTGTTTCCCACCCGGATAGCAAAGGTCGCCACCTGTTTCCCACTAGGACAACAGCTGTCACCTCCTCCCGTCTCCTGGTTTGTGCCTCCGCCCTGCCCAGTCTAGTCCCCTCACTGCAACCAGAAGGATTCTGTTAAACCTAAGTCTGGGGACCGGCGGGTGGCATGGTGGTTAAGGCGCTTGGACACTCCCACATGGATGGCATGGTTCAAGTCCCAGACCTGGCAGTTTGCTTTCTCACTTTCACTCTCTCCATCTCTCTCCGTCCCTCTCTGGTCAAATTAAATATAAGTAAATAAAGTTAAATAAAACTTAAAAAAGAAAAAAAAATCCCTAAGCCTGGGGACCAGCAGGTGGCGTGGTGGTTAAGGTGCTGAGACACTCCCACATGGCCGACCAGAGTTCGAGTCCCAGACCTGGATGCTTGCTTTCTCTCTTTCCTTCTCTCTGTGTGTCTGTCTTTCTCTGGTCAATTGAAAATTATTGAATGAATAAATAAAATGAAATAATTATTTAAAAAAGAAACAAAACTAAGTCTGGGGCCAGCAGGTGGCATGGTGGTTAAGGCACTGGACTCTCACATGGGGAAACGTGGTTCAAGTCCCAGACCTCGCAGCTTGAAAATCACACTGGGCATATGAGCATGTGTGCCCAAAATCCCAAGAGGAGAATGGAGAAGGGACTGCGCACGGCCATTGCCAGGGGCCGGGGGGTGAATTTTCACTTTCCCCTCTCTGTCTCTGTCAAGCGCACACGCCCTATGACAAAAACCAATAAATCAATAACCCCCCAGACACCTAAGTCGGGCTGACAGTGGCAGCGGCAAAGCATGACATTCTGCGAGGCTGACCCCCGTGGGAAGTTCGGGGTTCTCTGGACTGAACACGGCGGCCATGGATACACCTGGGATCTGGGCTGGCCGAGGCACCAGACCCTGCAGGGGAGGCTTTTCTCCTTTCTCTGCTTGTCCAAACTCAGGAGGCTTTCCCTCCCCTGACCCAGAACTCCCAGCTACCTTCTTCAGGCCTGCAGAAGCTTGAAGGAAGGGGTCCCTGCTCCCCTACCCTGCAGAGCCACAATATTAATTTTGTTAAAGGTTTTTGCCACATGGTGTGTGCACTCGCCAGAGAGAGACAGAGATAGTAAGAGAGAAAGTGAGAAGTCACCCGCCCCAGGGATGGGCATGCCGCAATCCCTTCTCCAGTGTCCTCAGGAATTTGGGCACACACATGTCACTGGTGTGACTTGCAGGCTGCCAGGTCTAGGACTCAAACGCAGTCAGCCACGTGGGAGCCTAGCGCCTTAGCCGCCATGCCACCTGCTGGCCCCAGCACAATATTCGTTTTAAAAAACAGTGGCGCCCAGTGTTTGCTGAGAACTTCACAGGGATTAGTCCAGTGCTGACACCTCATCAAAGAATAAAAAACTTTACAGGCCCAGCAGGTGGTGTGGTGGTTACGGGCGCTGAACTCCCACGTGGCCAACCCTGGTTCAAATCCCGGACCTGACAGCTTGCTTTTTTGCTTTTCCATCTCTCTCTCTCTCTCTCTCTCTGTCCCTCTCTGGTCAAATAAAAATGAATAATTTAATTTAATCTAACAATTCTTTAAACAAAAAGAATAAAAAATTTTAAAGAGTGGAAAGTGTCCTGTCACTTTATTTTTTCTTTTTGGTATAGGTTGCGTGCAGTCACCAGAGAGAGACAGAGTCTGGGGGTGTGGGGGGAACAGTGAGAAATCACCCCACGGGGGGGCACGCCATGCTGCCATCCCTTCTCCATTCTCCTTTCAGGACTGGCATGTATGCATGCCTGCCCAGTGTGATTTTCAAGCCCCTGGGTCCGGGACGTGAACTGCAGAGTCAGCTCTGTGGGATCCAGTGCCTTAACCACCATCCCACCCGCTGGCCCTCTTGTTGTTTTTTGTTTGTTTTGTTTTGTTTTGTTGTTTTTTGAGAGGTTTTCGCTATAGGGCGCATGCGCTCGCCAGACAGAGAGAGACAGAGAGACAGAAAGCGAGAAATCACCCCCCGGGGAGATGGCCACACCGCAATTCCTTCTCCTCCATTCTCCTCTCGGGATCTTGGGCACGCACGCACACGCGCCCAGCGTGAGTTTTAAGCCACCAGGTCCAGGATGTGAACCGCGGTCAACTACGTGGGAGTCCAGCGACACAGCCATTACGCTAACTGCTGGTTCTCTGTTTGTTTGTTTTTAAGATTTAAGTCAGTGCATGTCCTTCCTCTGCTCAGAGCCTGCCCAGGGGTCTCGCCCCGCTCAGTCTTCACCACGGCCCAAGAGCCCGCAGGACAGGGGCCATTGTCCCCTCGGCCCTCGTGCCTGTGCTTAGCCCCGCTGGCTTTCTGCTCTCTACGTGCAAGCTGAGCCCTACCCTGACCTCTGCACAGGCTGGTCCTCTGCTGCAATGCCCTGCCTCAGACGCGGCTGGGCCCCACTTCACCGCCACGGCCCGCTCAGGTCTGCCCCCCAAGCTCTTGCCACCTCCCACCTTACTCTCCTGTTCCCGTAGCCCTGACCACC